AAAGAGAGGAGGAAAGGCCAGGAATGGAATGAAAAGGCTGCCTGCAATGCAGAACATCCCTGGACGCCCCCCTGGGAGTGAAAACATCTTCCCTCCAGCTTTCTGTCTCTCATTACTGACAGTGGAAAATACAAGAGCTGCCAAGCTAGAGGTTCAGTACAGCCAAGATGGGAAACCTTATTAGAGAGACAGATGGTGATTTCTATAATCTGAAATCCCAGACTGTAAATACTCTGGGACAGAGCCCTGTGCAACTGAACAGTGCTAAAGCTTGACAGCAGCAGCTGGATCCAGTTTTCTATGCACAACTGCTCCGTGGGTGGCTTTTGGTGGATGGTAGATGCTACCAGGACAAGGTATCTCTTACAGAAGGAGAAGGTTCTTCTAAACCCCGCTGGAGATACTCCATCTCAATTTTATGTACTTTCCAATGGAAAAGTGCCTTGAATAACTGAGGACAATCAACTCACATTTAGAAGTTTTTCTTAGCCTAAGAAGATTCCCAAGGATGTGGTTGCAGTAGATGAGTAAGGGGGAAAATCTGTATCTTGGGAGCACAAGTGACATCTTGCTGCAGCTTGTGGGAGAAATTATAAATGTCTGTCTCTGTTTATCGCTTAGCTTTGCAGCTAAATCTCCTAAACCAAAATCATATTTTACCCTTAGATCTCCCAGTTCATTTATTTATATTCATCTTGCATTGCCTTGATCTTCAAAGCAGGAAGGTATATCAAAGGAAACAGAAGGTTTGACACCAATTACTGCTGCTGGATGCCATTCACTGCATAAAGATGGAGTGTTAATATTTACACTGAAAGTGACAGAGATAAAACCCAACAGGTACACACATCTAAGCCTACAAATAAGCCCTTCCATGTATAGTGGGCAGAAATAAAGCCAAGCAAAACTAATTGAAATTACCATTGCAAATATCCCAAACTCTTCAGAAATGGTGGGTTGTAAACAATGAAGTGACAGCAAAACCACAAAAAGAGCCTTCTAGGAAAGCAAATCAGGCTCTCTGCTTCTCAGGGGTAGTGCCTGGTCTCCAGGAGATGGTCTTTTGAAACAAGCCACCATGAAGAAGAAATTAACATCTAAATTTCCCCACACTTCACCATGAGACACTTGACTTACATTTTAATCTCTTGAGTTTGAGACGTGTGAGCCCCCGGTGACTGAACCTGCCCTGCCTTGGCTGTCTTAGTGTCTAATCTGGTTTGCTCAGATGCTTGCTCTCTCCTCCAGAAAACTCAAAATGGCTTAGAAAGCTTGGTGAAGTTTTCATGTTTTTCACAACCATCAAGAATTGAATTAGAGATGAGTCATTAAACAAGAGTGTATTATTTGTATGCTTATGTAGTAGAATTGTACGCACATCTCTGTAATTAGCCATCAGCACCCCAAATTACAGCAGTAACCGTTCATTAAATGGAGGACATTGCTCCGATCAAATAATGTATTCACAATTGCATTTCTTCTTGCTTAAATTTCAGAGCTTGTTGTCCAGATGGGCCTTGTTGGGCACCTAATTAGTAGTTAATCAAAAGCTCCTGCTGCTTCACAGCCCTCCTGGCGTCCTAGCTGTTCTTTACGTGTTCCTTGACTGCATGGAGATGAAAGCACAGAAGTCAAAGTAGATGCTTTATCTCCTTTGTGCATCTGCCATAACTAAAACAGCTTCCAAAATAAACTCAGCTCAGGATGCATTGGTTATCTGACTTCTGTGTACTGAGCAAAATGGGTCTTGCAACGTGTGAGTGAAAATGCAGCCATGTGTTAACGGCAGCAAGAGACAGTGTCGTGTATTCTGAGATTAACTCGCTGTTTTCTCTTTCCTTTCCAGATTTTGGCAATCATTTCCATCATGTTTATTGTACTATCTACAATTGCCTTGTCCCTTAATACACTTCCTGAACTACAAGGCGTGGATGAATTTGGGCAGACCACGGATAACCCCCAGCTCGCCCACGTGGAAGCGGTGTGCATTGCGTGGTTTACAATGGAATACCTCCTGCGGTTCCTCTCCTCCCCTAAGAAATGGAAGTTTTTCAAAGGCCCGCTGAATGCTATAGATTTGCTGGCCATCTTACCCTACTATGTTACTATCTTCCTCACAGAATCCAACAAAAGTGTACTTCAGTTCCAAAATGTACGAAGAGTGGTCCAAATATTTCGGATTATGAGGATACTCCGGATTCTAAAACTTGCCCGGCACTCAACGGGTTTACAGTCCTTGGGGTTTACACTGAGGAGAAGTTACAATGAACTTGGATTACTCATCTTGTTTCTGGCTATGGGCATTATGATCTTCTCCAGTTTAGTGTTTTTTGCAGAAAAGGATGAGGATGATACAAAATTCAAGAGCATCCCAGCTTCTTTCTGGTGGGCAACAATCACCATGACAACAGTAGGCTATGGAGACATTTACCCCAAAACTCTTTTGGGTAAAATAGTAGGAGGATTGTGCTGCATTGCTGGTGTGCTGGTGATAGCTCTTCCCATCCCAATTATTGTCAATAACTTCTCAGAGTTTTACAAAGAGCAGAAGAGGCAGGAGAAAGCCATTAAGCGCAGGGAAGCTCTTGAAAGAGCAAAAAGAAATGGCAGTATTGTTTCCATGAACATGAAGGATGCATTTGCCCGTAGCATAGAACTCATGGACATCGTGGTTGAAAAGAATGGAGAAAGCATAGCCAAAAAGGATAAAGTCCAGGACAATCATTTATCTCCAAGCAAATGGAAATGGACCAAGAGAACACTCTCTGAAACTAGTTCTAGTAAATCTTTTGAAACTAAGGAGCAAGGATCCCCAGAAAAAGCTAGGTCATCTTCGAGTCCCCAGCACCTGAATGTCCAGCAGCTGGAGGACATGTACAACAAAATGGCTAAGACTCAGTCCCAGCCAAACCTTATCACTAAAGAGTCGAGTCAAGCTGGAAAGCAAAAGGAAGAGCTGGAAATGGAAACCCTTCCTGGCCCCATGGTGCCGCTGCTGGCGACTCGCACCGACGGGATCGTGGACATGAGGAGCATGTCCAGCATCGACAGCTTCATCAGCTGCGCCGCCGAGTTCCCCGACCCCGCGCGGTTCTCGCACAGCCCGCTCACCGCCCTGCCCTGCAAGGGGGGCATCAACCTCATCCAGGAGCAGAGCAGGCCCGAGGGGAGCAGTGCCAGGTATGTGGAAATGAACCCAAGCTCCGAAAGCAGCCACCGTTCTGCTTTCTTTATTGAAAGTCCCAAAAGCTCCATAAAGGCCAGTAACCCTTTAAAACTGAGATCTCTGAAAGTCAACTTCATGGAAGAGGACACCAGCACATTAGTACCAGCATCAAATGTACTGAGAACATATCCAGACCCTCTCAAGAGCCGGGGAGCTGCTGCTGCTGGCACAGATTCTTCCTTACTCTCTGACAGGTCTCTCATGAGCCCAGAAACCTCGATCTACACAACCGCGAGTGCGAGAACCCCCCCAAAGTCACCAGAGTCCCAGGCAGCCATAGCTTTCAACTTCCATGATGCTGGTATACACAAATACATAGACGCTGACACTGATGATGAAGGTCAGCTGATGTATGATTCAAGTCCGCCTGGAAATGTGAGTCCCAAGTACAGTGTTGCAAACAGTGGCTATCTAAAGCAAAAGGACCATGTTTATAGAACAGACAAGAACCATCTAGAAGCTGCAGCTTTACCCACCTCCCCTAAGCTGATAGGGCAGAACTGCATTTACTCTATGGAAGGTATCACTGGAAGAACCCAGGGCAATCAGGAGACTGTCAGACTAGAAAATCACATTTCCCCAGAAGTCCATGTATTACCAGGCAGCGGAGGACATGCTAGCACACATGATCAAAGCATCTGAGGTGGGGTCTGAAAGAACTTACTGAGAGTTTAAAGGAATATCTTCACAGTCAACACAAACAAAAGAGCTTCTGCATGGCATGAACTTGGCTGAAACAAGCCACCTGTTTCTAAAAGTCTGGGGGAGGTCCAGTGTGGGTTTGTGAAAATGTCCTTCTCTGAAACAACTCTAAAGACATTGCCCACATCAGTCAAAAAAATGATTGCAAATCATGATCACACATTGATCTCCTTTCATGTTGTCCAGTGAAGCCAATGTGACCAAATATCCATCCATTCCCCTTGAACGCTAGAGCTCCTTTTGGAAATATTAACATCTGATTTGCATTAGTTCCATAAAGGATGCCAAGGCAGCCAGATTTGAACTCTGGAATAAATTGCTGGGGTTGGTATAAAGCTTTCAAAAACACAATGCTCACTGCTTCAGGGCAGCGTTCCCCATCTACAGCTTTCTCTGATGGATATTATGTTTAAAGGTAACAGGGAACAGTTGCATTATTGGAAAATCCAAGTGAAATGCATTTGAAACCATTAATGGTCTAGAGAAGCCAATTCTTAAAATGCTCTTTGTGTGTTTAACAATCTGATATCCTGTAGGACCTGATCTTTTCTTTTGAAATATTAGCAGGGTGAGTTGCACCACTTGTATCTAACTCCAAACATGCCCTAGGACATAGTGAGACTTGCACTTGCCCTCTGCTAGAAGCGGCAGCTGCCCCGCGGCCCGCGCGTGGCCCGCGGGGAGGCCGGAGGAGCCGTGCAGAAGCAGGACGGGCCGGGCACGGCGGCCGGAGCCCTGCCGGGGTTCACCCTGCCTGGGGCTCTCTTGCCCTGCCCGGGGCTCTCTCGCCCCGCTGGGCTCGCCCTGCCCGGGGCTCGGCCTGCCCGGGGCTCTCTTGCCCTGCCCGGGGCTCTCTCGCCCTGCCCGGGGCTCTCTCGCCCTGCCCGGGGCTCGGCCTGCCCGGGGCTCTCTTGCCCTGCCCGGGGCTCTCTCGCCCCGCTGGGCTCGCCCTGCCCGGGGCTCGCCCTGCCCGGGGCTCGGCCTGCCCGGGGCTCGGCCTGCCTGGGGCTCGCCCCGCTGGGCTCTCCCTGCCCGGGGCTCGGCCTGCAGGCCCCGCCGCCCGGAACGAGCCGCTGTCCTGCCCGTGCCGGGCACTGCCGGGCCCCGCGGCCCAGCCGCGCCAGGGCCGGGAGAGGAGCAGGTTGGTCCGAAGCTTTTTGCGCCCCAGCAGCGCAGTGAAAGATATGCAAGTGTTACATAAATATGCAAAAAGAGGGATTCGTTAGTGACCCGTCCCAGGCCTGGCTGTGCTCCCTCTCGCCAGCAGGCCGGGCAGGAGAGGCTCCTGCAGGGCCGTGGCACGAAGCAGCTGTGAGAGGCAGGAGAATCAGGCCTGACATTTTAATAACATCCAGTCATTTTAAAACAAAACAAGACAATAAAGAGGAAAGGGAAAAAAAAAAAAAAAAAAGATCTGACCATTTTAAGTTAACAGAACTAGCAGCCACCAGCCTAGGTTTTTAAAATATTATTGTTTCAATAAAGTTATGTCAAATTGTGTAGGAAATAATTTGTCTTTGGTTTTTAATCTCGGGGTAGGGGGGGAAGCACTTTATGTTGACTTTTTGTTGTCGTTGTTGCAATGCTGGAGTAGGATAGCGGAGTGTAACAATCAAGCACTTTAACCAAGCACTACTTTAATTTGTGCCTCTTGTTGTGACTGTGATTTGTTACAAGCCTGTAGCAAGTCACAAGTTGTCCTGTGATAACTGTGATGGTAACCTTTTATGTTGTTCTCCGTTTCTACTGTAAACCTCAGTTGTAAATGACTCCGTCACCGAGCGTTTCCTGAGCTGACCCTGAGGTCCTGCCGGGGGTGTAGCAATGCGCGGGCAGCGGGTCCGGGGATGAGCTGAGACACGGGACGTGGGAGCAGAGGGGCACACGTGGGAGGAAGACCCCCCCGAAGCCACTCGAGTCCACTGCATTTTGTTCCTTCCTACTGTAAAAAACACGTGTTGGTTAGTCCTGAATGTAGCCGTGTGTCCGTCCCGGCCGTGCAGCGCTGTCTGTAACCCGTAATAGCGAGTGCAGCACGTACGGACAAAAGCAATAAGCACATTTCTGTTCTGGGAGCTAGCGTGGGCGGGGAGGATGCTGTGCCCGGCGTCTCCTCGGCACGGAGCCGTGCCTGGCACCGACTCCGCTCCGCTCCGCTCCGGAGCATCCCCGGCGGCCCAGCAGGGCGAGCCCGGGCGGAGCTGAGCGGGGCCGGGCCGGGGGAGCCCCGGGAGCCCCAGAGGAGCCCCGGGAGCCCCGGGGGAGCCGGCTCGGGGCTCGGGGCTCGGGCTCGGGCTCGGGCTCGGGCTCGGGGCTCGGGCTCGGGGCTCGGGGCTCGGGCTCGGGGCTCGGGGCTCGGGGCTCGGGCTCGGGGCTCGGGGCTCGGGGCTCGGAGCTCGGGGCTCGGGGCTCGGGGCTCGGGGCTCGGGCTCGGGCTCGGGGCTCGGGCTCGGGGCTCGGGGCTCGGGCTCGGGGCTCGGGGCTCGGGGCTCGGGGCTCGGGGCTCGGGCTCGGGGCTCGGGGCTCGGGGCTCGGCGCTGTTCGCTCTGTCCGAGCTGCGCCGCTCCCGCCCCGCGCTCCCAGCCCGCAGCGCCGCTCCGCCCGGAGCCGCTGCCCGGGGCAGGACGGAGGATTTGGCCATAGTAAATACAAGTGTACTTAGAGGAGCCGACGTATTGCTGAGATACTGCTTGAGATTGAGTCGTCGCGAAAAACTGAAAAGTAACTTTCCAGCAGATAAGCTTTAAATACTGATTTATTCTGTGGCTTTCTGAGGCTGCAGAGCGGCAACAAGAAATCTTAAAGAGAACAGTTATAATATAATCTCTGTGTTTCAGTGATCTGTCATGTCTGCCATCAGCACAAATGTAAAAAGAAAAGAAATCAGGGAATTTTTTTAAATAAAGTAATAGTGATTTCCAAGTTAAATATTTTTAGAGCTGATGCTTTCATGTGGAAAAAAAAGTCATATTTTACATATCACGAAAGTGAACATATTTAAATATAGCCATATAGTGTAGTATTTACCACACTCTCATCCAAATTGATGTATTTGGTTTATAGATGGCACTGACAAAAATGTATAAATCAACAATTCTATCATTTTTATCTGATAGTCAACTGGTGCAACTCTCCTTGTAACCAAAGGCCCTCTGTCTGCCTTGCGTGATCGCTCATGACACACACCTTATGTCATCTATTTAGTCCTACCTTTAAAGTAGCATTTTACTGAGTCACTTTTGAAAGTCAAATTCAAAAGTATCATTTAAAAAATCTTCCTTTTAAGTCTGAATAGCCAAAGTCCTATAGATTTCTTATAGAAAGCAAATAATTTAAAATTAAGCATATAATATGCTTGAAGAGCATTTCTTTCTTATTTGTGTACAAAGATGTAGCTCTCATTTTGTGCCCAATTAAAAAGGAAGTATGTTTAATTTATTTTAATGAAATAAAGTCTGAATATGAAGTATGTATCTATATAAGTGTGTGTGTGCATAATACACATATATATAATGTAAGCACTGGGAAATCTACTCTAAGCTAAAGCTATGGTAGACGAAATCTGTACTCATTGCAAAGGAAAGGCAGTGCTTGGAAAACATAATGCTCACCCAAACCTATAGATCCTAGAAAGACAATTTCATTTTTTTTTGCCTGATACATGATTCCCAAAGTTCGTAGGGGTTGGGGAAAACAGACAACATCTCTTGCACTGAGCTAAAGGGGGTGGTTTAATCACTGATATTTGGAATTCGGGTCTGCAAATTTACTGTGCACTAAGTGTCAAGCAAGCTGGCAGAGCCTGACCTGCTGATGCAGAAGACATCATACCTGCAAGGACCCTCTGGACGTGTGATGTCTGCACTTGCTTGTATCTTATACCATCAACATCACTTTTAACACATACCTACAAATATACATAGAAAACACACACACACACATACACACATATACATATATACATATATATATATATATATATATATTTGTGTGTGTGGAAAGAGAGAGTGCAGTTTTCTTAACCAGGAGGCTAAAGATTATTTGAATTTTAGCCTTGAAGAGAGGAAAAAAGCATTGACTTTGCAGTAGATTTCTCAGTGCCTTTTCTTAAAAACTTCACCTAAGCACACTTACAGAAAAAAAAAAAAACAAACAAAAAACCCAAAACAAAAGAGTTTCCTGTGTAATCCACATTTTTCTGAAAGGTTTGAGAGTCAAAAAAAGGTAGAAGAAAGGAAAAAGAAAAAAAAAAGACACGAGAGAGGAAAAGAAATCCATGGAACGCACATTCCCTTCCTGAACATGCCGTGTGTCAAATGCCGGGGAATATCTGCCTGGGCGAGCCATGAGAAACACATCTGAGGCGGTCAGGTTGTTTGGTAACTATGGCTGTGATAAACTGTAGCCTTTTCTTCCCTTGCAGCTAATAAGAAACACATTTCTAAGGAAAACCGTATTCTCTTCTGTAAAATTGTAATGTATTGTTAATATTTGTACCTACTGTATATTTATGTCTTGACAGAAGGATGGCCGTAGAGTTTATAGTAAATAACAAGGTTATGTGCAACTCATCACAAAGACGAGGTTTGTAAAGCCACGTTCTCTCTGCTGGTAAGCTCCACAGAACACCTGATCCCAGAGCAAGCCCTGCAGCTGCTGATGCAGCAGGGGCCAGGCATTCCCTGTGTTTGTGGCCAGGCATCAGGGCTTCCCTGGGGCTCCGAGCCAGCCCCTCCCCGCTGGGCCATCACTCCTGCACAGAACAAGTGCTACCTGGGCTTCATTTGGATCACCCAGCTGGGGAGAATATGGCTTTGAATAGTTCTTGAATAAAGTACAGATGTTCTGGTTACCTCTGTACCTCCTGCTTGCCATTGTGTGGGCTTTATAAGTATCTGATGTATGGAAAAGTCATGTGACTTTCATGCATTCCAGAGTAGTCTATTTTTCTGTTCAGATTTTAAAAAAATTATATATATATAAATATATATATATAAATATAAATATATATCTGTATTTTTAGCAAATTTATAATAGGGCAATCAAGTCAGATTTCTTCTTTTTGTATTACAGAATAATATATTAGATGCTCTCTCAGTGTTCATTTACACAGCTGATCCCCCAACCTTTTTGTTGTTATTTTCTTTTTTTTCGGATGAACACCTGCAACATTCCTCCTGGAAGTGCATCTGTGAAAGGTCATGGGGTTTGTCTGATGTTGTCATGTTTTTGTATTTTCCTGTTTGTGGTACTTTAACCAGGGACTGGCTGTGGGAACTGAGATGTTCCTGCTGAGAAACGTGGAGCAGGCCAGACTGCCCTTGGTGACAGCAGGGAAAAGGTCACCCAACACCCCTGGCTGCAGTTTCTCCAGATTTACATCGATTAAGCTGAGAACAGAAAGAAGAGACAGGTTTTGAATCTAATTGTCCTAATAGTGACATGATGGATTTGGTATAAACAAATCTAGGCTCTTATTCAAGGCAGTGACCTGACAAAGCTCAGGCACCTTCAGAGAAGTTTTTCCTGGATTAAAACAGAGTGTCCAGACTTTGATTTCCCGCTGGGTTTTGGAATTTTTATTTTTGGTCCCAGAGAAAATCAGGAAATTAGTAAAAATGGAGGAATGAGAAACAAACATTCAGGAAGAGACCAGATTTTGATTTAGTTATGGTAAAATCTGTCCATGTACCTGATTACATAATGATGCTCTTTGCTCCTTTGTAGCTGAATGCACAGCTATATTCAGAGAAATTTTGTAAAAAGTCCCTGAGATAAATGTTCATCCTAAAGCTATCTCATGGCCTGTTGAAGTTTAGCACGATGAAGAGCTTCAGGGCCACTCCAGCTCTGCACAGACATTTCTTTCTGATTCGGCCCAGCAGTTTGGTCAGTGACCATGCTTTTGCCAACAATAGAGCTTTGGTTCCATTTCCTTTTGTTTCTGAGATTTTCTTACATGTCCACCATAATGGACAATAAACCTGAACCAGATGTAATTTGGAAAGGTGCTTCAGAAGGTATCCTCAAATGAAAGGAATAATATGTAGATGCAGTTTAGCATGTGATTATCAGCAAGACTTGTTCACAAATGAAGATATTAAAGTTGAGTGGGATTTTTCTTTCTTAGGAAGCAATTAATGCAATAGGCTGCCATATCTATTGTCAGCAATCACATAAGTCTCTTCAAAAGGCACGGTCCATATCAGCAAGTTTGCTAGAGCATAGTCAAGAAAACCACAAAAAGCTTCTAGTCAGACCACTCTTACCTTGCCCTCCCACACCAGGACAGGAGCGCCCACACTCCACCCAGCCCTCTGAAGAAGAGATGTTTATTTTTCAGCATGCACCTCACACCCACGCTGATCACATTAGGCTCTTGCACTGAAACTGTGTCTCGGCCAGGCAAAGGAAACCTTAGGAAAATGGGAAGTTTGCATCCAGGACGTGCATCCTGGTTGCTGCTGGTGTTACCTAAGCCACAATAAGTGTCCTTTGACACCAATGGTTGGGTGCCACAAGTGTTCATATCTGTAAATACTACTCCAAATTTTGCTTTGCTTGATTCTGGCTTCATTGCACAAGAAGTTTTCAGTCTTAGAGGCTTAGAAGAGAAAGCAAAACCTTCCTTCTTCCTTTTAACTAGTAGTAATACTGTTGATGCTCTGTAGGATTGAACAAGGATTAACCTTTATTTTTAAAGGGGTCTTTCCAGGACTGCAGTGACACTACCTTTGAAAATTAATAAAAAGGCTGAACTCCACGCAAAGACCCCTCAAAACTAGAGCCTCATGAAAGCCAGGAAGTCAAATTTCTATGAAATGTCAAATTCTTTGCTGCTGTAACATAAAGCCCATTGAGGCCAATGGAGCTGTGCCCCCTTTAGATCAGTAAAGAATTTGGAGCCATATCTCTAAAAGCTAATGGAAAATTAATAGCTTTGTACGGCCTCAGGGCTGGAGGTGTCTGCCCACAGCACTTCTCTGGAAACGGGGTGCGGGAGTGGGGAACAGAGGCCAGAGGGTGACAGTCACTGCAGACAGGACTGAGCATCCCTCCAGGGCAGCTGGCTCTCTGGGGCTGGCAGGGCTGTGGCTGCAGCAGGGTCCCAGCCTCGGCCCGCAGCCCTTGCTGAAGCTGGGAGGACACTGCCAGCAGGTGGGCCATGGGTCACTTTGAACTGTGGCACGAACTCTGGTCCTGTTGCTAATCTGCACTTAAGAACATTCATCGTTCTTCTCTGCTCTGTATTTTT